TATCTTTCACAGAAGTATGTAATTTCAGAGAGTATCAGAATGCCAACTAGAAAAACTATTTCTATGCTGTTCAAATGTAGGTATAACCCCAAAACAAGTTCACTGTTACATGCTAAACATTTTGTTTTGACATTAGGTAGAAGTTTTTAGTTCACTGTTACATGCTAAACATTTTGTTTTGACATTAGGTAGAAGTTTACTGAAAAGAAATTTTAAGAAAATCTTTATCAAAGCTGACTAAAAGCTTATTTGCAATTGTTTGGATCAAGCCTTCTCGTGTCACCTTTATAATAGATCTCATTTTAGTATGCTAACTTCTGAAATGCAAATATTTATAAATGAAGCTTGGCTATGATTTGTACTTGTCTTGAACTGAATGAATATAACTCTTTTCAGTAAGTAAAAAATACTTTTGGATGTTATTAAACAAAATACAGGTGGCTGCTGATACTGTCAAAATTATCATTGTTACCTATCTTGTGGAACTGCCAGTTTCCTAATGATAAATGGCAATAAGAATTTCACATTATTATATCAAGAATGTTCAGACCAAAAATTAAACTTACTAGTATTACTGGAAACTACCTTAAACATTGATCCTCTGCATTTAGTTTTCTAATATAGAGTTATAGCACTTTGGAGACATTAAAATGAGTCCACATAATGTTCTGTAGTAACTTGAAAGGCCTGTGGCCATAAGTATATAGAATGTATGCTATATGAAAATATTCTTGTTATATAATATTTACAGATAGTTTGAGGATATGAGGAACATATAAATTCTTAAGGCTGATTTTTTGTTATACTGGGGATCTAAACCCAGGACCTCACACATTCTAGGCAAGCAATCTATCACTGGATATACCCACAGCCCCCTTATAGCCTGATTATGGTTCATACATTTAAATGATTTGTAATTCAAATAAATGATTTTTATTGTAGTCTTTTCTGTTGCACTCCCCTCAATGTTGGGGGAAAAAGGAAGATATTTATTGTCAACCCCCCCTGCTTCTCTCCCACCCTCTCTAGATGATAATATGTTTGTTTGTTCAAAGTAGTAATTCATAAGGGATAATTATAAAGTTCTACACTTAGGTTTTAAAAACATCTCCTGCACTAGTTAACAAGGAAGTAAAATTTGTTAAAAATATTTAGGTATGGTAGCACCAACTGACTCATGATTATAATCACAGCAGTGGGGAGGCTGAGGCAAGATTGACAGTTCAAGGCCAGCTTGGGCTACACAGTGAAATCCAGGCCAGCCTGGGCTATATACTGACACCCTGTCTTAAAAAACAAAATGCAACAAAATATAAAATATTGTAAAAGACATTCTAAGAATCCTTTTACACTGAAAATCTTAACCATACAAGGAAACTAAGAAAGCATGAATACATTGTAGTGAGTCATCACTGGAGATGACATTTTTTTTGGGATATGTGCTACTCAGTGTGGCCTGAAGTCTGCTTCAGGTGCCATAAATAGGAATCTGAAAATAAAATCATCAAATAGTTTGCACTTCTATGGCTTGAGGGTCAGAGTTATATTATAACTCTGATAGTCACAAACTGGAGGACACTGAATTAGTGTGACATCCTTAAAATGGACTCAGAACATTCATGCAATAGACATGGATTTTGTGTAGATTATTAAAGACCAACTTGAACAAATTATTATACAACCTTAATTCTTACACATTAGTTATTTTTCTTAGTACCACATTAGGAATGAGTTGCTTCATGTTGTGAATGTGCTTGAGTACAGCCATCTCCAGATCACATTTGTGAATTATGTTATTGCAATAAAAATAAACAAGAATTATTGTTACCAGAGTACATGCTAGCCACTGATGCCTGCTCATCTTCACTTAAATATTAGTCTTATGGGAAAGAAAAAAATTCTATGAAAGATAAATAGAAATTTGCATATTTCATTCCTATAAATCAGTTGCAGGCTATTACTATGTTTCTATAGTTTGCTAAGCATGAATCTTGTAATAATGGAGATTAGTATGAGATTTTTGCATTCTAATAGTTGTCTACATTATAAAGGCCACTTTATGGTTATTAAAAAGAAAATTAAGCCATCATGTTCTAATACAGTCAATTATGGGCACATTATTTCAAACAGAATAATTTTTCTTGGCTTTCTTTATTTGCTTATTTTTCTTTAAAGTTCCATGTTTTCACATCAAACTTCATTGTTCAATATTTTCCATTTTCTGGAATTTACTGACATAAAAATTCTGAGATCAAGAAAGAACTAGGTTTTCCTCTTGTAACCAGTAAACCTGTCTCTGATTGTTCCCTCTCAGAGTTAATACTGTCTTCTTCCTTAGAGTTACTTAGTATCAGAACCATATTTAACTCTTATCTTTCCCTGTTCAATTTTTATTAAATGCATATGTCATGGATACTGGGATGCACTGATCATGTACCTTTTCAGCAATGAAGAATTTCCTACTGTAGCTACTGGAAATGATGCTGGAAGATGACCATCAAGTCAGCCCTCTATGGGCATTACCTTGCTTTGTACAACCCCCTTTCACATGTAGCCCACTTTCCATGACTGATCAACATTGCACTAGAAAGGCTCAGTCTCCTTCTTCCAACTTGGATAACTCCAAAGGGCCATTCCAGCTTTGAAGGTCTTGAGGAGTTGGCTGGGCCTGCATTGAATCACCACTTCTTTCCTGCCCAACAAACTTTCTTACCTTTCCTTTCACAAGTGTTAAACACGGTACATTCCCTTCTATATATTCTGCATGCTAATCTCTCATCTCAAAGTCTGATTCCCTAGAAAGCCCACCTGCTTTAGCATCACTTTCCTTGTTAAGGCCTTTTTTCTCAAAGACCTGTAACTAATCACATAACTCTAAGTGCCCTGCCTCTCTCCTCCCATATGTTTTGTATATTATCTCCAGATTTTTCTTTATGAAGACTCAGTTGAATTATGCCTGTTTCCACCACAAAAATTTCAGTGCCCCCTGCTTTAGTAAGAAATAAAACAAAACTCTTTCTGAAAAAGTCTGCCTGAGTGTCACTCTGCCCTCCCCCATGTGTGTGCACTCAGATTCTAGTACATCCATTGGTTTTTTATTTACAGAAACCACTTTTTTTGTGTTCTTAATAAGGTTGTTACATAATGAGACACTGTCTCAAACAAAACAACATGAAATAAACATTTATTTTATAAAATAATATAAAGTTCTTTATATTATAAACAATCTATGTTTATAATATATTGTTATAAAGTACCAATAACAGTACCAATAACAGTAATAATCAAAAAATTCTTAATGACTCTGCCTATTACAAAAGATTAGTTAGATACTAAAACTAGGGAAATATACCAACTATTAAGATTATTATTGATAATTAAAATGAAAATTCAAATTCATTTGAATATATTCACATCTTCTGGTAAAATGTTATTTCATTGATATACTTGGAGTAGGGTCACTACAGCAAATCTACTTATGTGATTTACTAATAGGCTTTATAAATCTAAGTGTCTCAAAAGTGATGAGAAGGGGGTGGGGGCAGGGGGGAGAAATGACCCAAGCCTTGTATGCACATATGAATAATAAAAAAAAAGAAAAAAAAGTGATGGGAAAATTTCAGAATATGTGAAAAATTACTGTTATGTTGACATTTGAGGTTAAGGACATTTGAAACAGGCAGAGAGACCAGGCATGTGGGTTCTTCTCACACAGTATATTCTATCACAGTGGTAATAACTGAATCATTGTGGTTGGTACTCTGAAATTTCCATTCTGCTTGTTAATAGCCTTGACAAAAATCTACTCTCTGTACCTTCTACTTTTGCAGTAGGTAGCACCCCACACTTTATTTACTAGAGATAGACCTTTTCCTCAAACATTCTATGTTTAGGCATTAAAGGAATGAGAAGCTAGTAACTTCTGAAGTTTTATCCATTTACCTACATTATAATAAATTCCTCAGTAGGCTCCATCTACAAATGGTGCATTACATTATCTTCCAATTAAGATAATTTATTACTTTGATGAATCATAACCCTACAGTTTCAGCTACTACCTTATTATATTTTTTTGAATCAGGGTCTTCCTATATAGCCCAGTATATCCTCAAACTCAATATGTAACCCAGGCTGGCTTCTAACTCATGATACTCCTGATTGCTGGGATTACAGAATTGCACAACCACACCTGACTAGACATAATTTTCTATCACTTTTCACCTTCCTTCCTTGCTTTTAGAAATATATCCTACCCTGTTCTCAAGCAAGCAATTCTGTTCAGGAATCACTGGGGAAATTTGTATAAATTAATGGTTTATTAGAAATAAAGGAAGAAAAGTTCACACATACCAAACTCTTAACCTATTATTGTATAGCAATTGAGTATACGTAGATGTTTTATAATACCTAATCCTATAAGCAGACACTCTCATAGAATGCTGTAGGCTTAATATAATTGATATAGCTATTTGAAACTATTTATTAAATTTTAAATGTAAATACTTTTAAGTATTTCTACTTCTTGGAATTTTTTTCTATAAATAAATGGTCAAGATAATATAGCATTAGGCATAAAATATATACATTAAATAAGCTTTTATAAAAAACTTTCAATGAACTAAAAGAAATACTGCTTGAATCACAATAAAATTTTAATAGATAATATCAATAAAGATAAGAAAATAATAAAAATTAACTAAAATTATTTCTGGAGTTGAAATATAGCAAATGAGAGGAATTGTAAGTTAACTACAGATTACCCAGTGTGAAGAAGAGAAAGTTACAAAAAGTGAATAAAACCTCACATATCTATGGATTAGTATAAAACATACCAACATAAAATATACACCCTAAAGGTCTATTTAGAAAGCTAATAACTGAAGTTCAAAGCTAAATTTCCCTCTGGGACATTTTTAGAAAGGGAAAACATAAATTACAATTTTATTTCTTTTAATCATATTTCCATTCTAATGCATCCATTAATAAACTGGATTTGATACCTTTGAATTCCCCACGTTTCCAAGGGCACACATGTAGAATGTATGGAAGTGAATTATCAGGCTCTATGGTAATATATGGTTTTCCCCACACTATCGAAAGATCTGAAGATACCTAGAAAAGTAAGTTAGAAAATAAGAATTATTTAATGACAATATGAAATGCTTTTCTATGTTTCAGTATATTGCACTATATGCAATTAATGAAACAAACTAAATCATACAAAAAGCTGAAATTTAAGTTATTTCTATCAAAACTATCCATTTTTAAAATGTTTTTATTTGTATATGATAGTTATACAAGGGGTTTCATTATTACACTTCCCTACATACATATATTGTATCCCAGTTTTGTTTATCCCCTCCATTATTCTTCCTCTTCCCCCATTCCCTTCTTAAAATGACTTGGACAAGTTTCAGTGTTCCATAGAGACAGCTTTAGGCCATTTCTTATTTTCTTGTATATGAGCCATACTTTCTTGGTTTTTATGTTCTTTTATCTTTGTCTCATAATTTTTGTTGAAATCTGTACATTTTACATAAAGTAATATAGCCACTCTATAAATCAGATCACAACCTCCTCATGGTTTGTTTTTTTATTGTTCATTTTTTGTTCTTTATGTTCTTCACTGGCTTAGTGACTTTTCTGTTTTAATTCTATAAAATATGCATTCATAATACTATGTGTCTGATGAAGTTCCTGCTCAGATTTGTCACAGGTTCTTTACATGCCTTGAAGCAATAAATCTTCTACCCTTTACAAAGGAACAATGTATATGTGTATATGTGTTGTGGCACATGTCCAGCACTTAGGCAGTATAAAACTCCAACTTAGCTTTATTTTCTAGCTCATGTAGTATCTCCATGTCAACCTGAGGTGAAAAATTGACCCATCTTATGTCTGTCCTTGCCATGCACCCAACCCTGGACATATATGTGGTTTTCTTGACCCCAAAGGAAATATCAGACCTTTTAAGTTTTCCTAAGGATATGTCATATTCCACACCTTACTTTTAAGTATTTGACTAAACTCTTGTGGGCTGCTACTTTTATTGCAGATTGCAGGAACTGAAAAGTTAAATAATTGCTGTTGAATTTTTTGACAAATGTTTCTATCAGAGAAAACTCTGAGACAAGTCAAATAATGAAAAACCCTAGCTAATGGGATGTTGCCAGGAAATTTTAAGAAAGGTCAAATAGTGACCCATATACAAACTTCCTATTCACTTGTTTATAAGGCCTTTCTTTTTCATGGCTACTACAGTTGCAAGATTGCCAAACTGAGGAAAGGGAGATAGGAGGAGGCTGTTAAAATGCCACAAATTATCCTGCTCTTAGCAGAATGCAGAATATTTTTTCCTTTTTCCCCAAAATATACTCACCAGATTGTTTTAAGTCTGTGCTTAATTTTCAGATTTCTGAAAAAAATTATTTTTATTTTTTGCCAGAATTATCATTGATTTTAAGGAAGAACTGATATATTGAAAATGAAGAGCATAATACTTTGAAGGAGTATAGTTAGAGGAAAATGTTATTTCATAACAGAAAAATTTAAGAATCTTTATCAGTTAAGGAAAATAATCCAATAAATATGAAGACAGATATATGTAATATATACACATATACATATATATACACATACACATATATAAATACATATATACATACATACACACAGAGAAGAGAATGAACACAAAAGAAAGTGAAAAGACCTAGAGTGCATAGAGGTAGAGGTCAACCTTATTTTACATATCAGAGAATGAAGATGGAGATCAGATGTATTTCAGTTATCCTGAAGCAAATATATGATACAACCTAACATTATAAAGATTCTCAGCTTAGCCTTTCTCCTTGGATACACCTTGTTTGCTTTCCAGTAGAATATCTATCAAATTACAAGCAATAAACCTAAACATTATGAATGAAGAGGAACAACAAATTGATAATGCAAATGTATGGTCATTAGTACATGTAGCTTAAAATTTGTGGTAATTTTCAAATTAAGAAAGGTGATACTTTATCCATTCAAAACTTTTCTAGCAACAAATATTTCTTAGGCATTGAAGCAATACTAGGAATCTCCCTATATAGCTATCCTTACCTCATCTAGCAAAAACCCCTGGTCCTCCTTATTAATGTTTATACTCTCTCTTCAACAAAATTAGAGATAAGGGGAAAACAGTTTCTGCTTGGAAACAAGGGAGTCGGGGGAAGAGACAGGGGGTGGGGGTAAAGGAAGGGGATGGGGGGAAGGGGGGAGTAATGACCCAATCATTGTATGCATATATGAATAAAGGAAATAAAAAAATATTTCTTAGGTCATAAACATGCTTATGCATTTTATAATTGCTGATGCTATAAGTATGCAGATATATCAAAATATTAGCAAGATCTATAACACATGAAAATAGGATTCATATTTTAATGAAATACAGTTTATTAATTCAGTACTTGACATATTTACACAAAGATATTTACTACCACTTTTCATTCTAAAAATAAAATAATCACATTCTTCAGTATTTTTAAGCCCCATTTTTTGCCAAGATTTTTAACTAATGAAAAGCTTCTGATATTTAAATTTTGGTGGAAGAGAAGTCAACGTAGCAAGGTACTCTCGCATTTGGTCATGTGGCTTTGATAATCAACAAGCTCTAACTGAACATCATCTGATATCCAATACTTAGCAGGGTCGGGGGTTAAAATATCCCTCCCTTGCAGTTTTCTGTCTCTGGTATTAGCAGGACTGAGTCTTCAATGATTTTGAGCAGTTAACACCACCTGTGTAAAAAAATCTATGACATGATTTATGAGAAATAGCAAAAAGGGAAAATACGCAGGACAAAGCTGAGGAACTGTCTCCACTAATTAAGGAGTTTTTCAGTCTTAAGGTAGCTCTGAATCAGCTGGACTTTTTTCCTGGTCATTCATTTTTACCACTTTGAGGTATAATTGATAAATAAAAAACGTATATAGATTTAAAGTAGATAATGTGATAATTTGATATACATATACACTGTGAAATGATCACCATAATCAAGCTAGCTCCTGATTATGAGGCTTTGGATGTTTCCAACAAAATTGGGATCATTCAAGTTGAATCCAGCTGGCTAATTTTAAACACACATTTTTCACCATAAAAATGTGATCAGCATCAATAATTATCAGGGAAACGCAAGTGAAAAACCACAATTAGATATCACCTCATACCTTTCAGGATGGCTACTATCAAAAAGACAGGAGGTAACAAGTGTGAGAATGTGGACAAAAGGGAACACCTGTGCACTGCTGGTGGGTATGTAAATTAGTACAGCAATTATGAAAATCAACATGGAGGTTCTTCAAAAAACCTCTACCAGATCTTTAAAGAACTGATACCAACCCTCTTAAACTGTTCCATGAAATAGAAAGGGAAGGAAAACTGCCTAACACATTTTATGAAGCCAGTATTACACTTATCCCAAAACCAGGCAAAGACACCTCCAAAAAGGAGAACTATAGGCCAATCTCCTTAATGAACACTGATGCAACAATCCCCAACAAAATTATGGCAAACCGAATTCAACAACACATGAAAAAGATTATTCACCACGACCAAGTAGGCTCATCCCAGGGATGCAGGGGTGGTTCAACATATGAAAATCAATAAATGTAATAAACCACATTAACAGAAGCAAAGACAAAAACCACTTGATCATCTCAATAGATGCAGAAAAAGCCTTTGATAAGATCCAACATCATTTCATGATAAAAGCTCTAAGAAAACTAGGAATAGAAGGAAAGTACCTCAACATTATAAAAGCTATATATGACAAACCTACAGCCAGCATTATACTTAACGGAGAAAAATTAAACCATTCCCTCTAAAATCAGGAACCAGACAAGGATGCCCACTATCTCCACTCCTATTCAACATAGTACTGGAATTCCTAGCCAGAGCAATTAGGCAAGAAGAAGGAATAAAAGGAATACAAATAGGTAAAGAAACTGTCAAAATATCCCTATTTGCAGACGACATGATCCTATACCTTAAAGACCCAAAAAACTCTACTCAGAAGCTTCTAGACATCATCAATAGCTACAGCAAGGTAGCAGGATATAAAATCAACATAGAAAAATCATTAGCATTTCTATACACTAACAATGAGCAAACTGAAAAAGAATGTATGAAAACAATTCCATTTACAGTAGCCTCAAAAAAAATCAAATACCTAGGTGTAAACCTAACAAAGATGTGAAAGACCTGTACAAGGAAAACTATACACTTCTGAAGAAAGAGATTGAGGAAGACTATAGAAAGTGGAGAGTTCTCCCATGCTCATGGATTGGTAGAATCAACATAGTAAAAATGTCAATACTCCCAAAGTAATCTACATGTTTAATGCAATTCCCATCAAAATTCCAATGACATTCATTAAAGAGATTGAAAAATCTACCTTTAAATTTATATGGAAACACAAGAGGCCACGAATAGCCAAGGCAATACTCATTCAAAAGAACAATGCGGGAGGTATCACAATACCTGACTTCAAACTATATTACAAAGCAATAACAATAAAAACAGCATGGTACTGGCACAAAAACAGACATGAAGACCAGTGGAACAGAATAGAGGACCAGATATGAAGCCACACAACTATAACCAACTTATCTTTGACAAAGGAGCTAAAAATATACGATGGAGAAATAGCAGCCTCTTCAACAAAAACTGCTGGGAAAACTGGTTAGCAGTCTGCAAAAAACTGAAACTAGATCCATGTATATCACCCTATACCAAGATTAACTCAAAATGGATCAAGGATCTTAATATCAGACCCAAACTCTAAGTTGATACAGAAAGAGTAGGAAATACTCTGGAGTTAGTAGGTATAGGTAAGAACTTTCTCAATGAAACCCAGCAGCACAGCAACTAAGAGATAGCATAGATAAATGGGACCTCATAAAACTAAAAAGCTTCTGTTCATCAAAAGAAATGGTCTCTAAACTGAAGAGAACACCCACAGAGTGGGAGAAAATATTTGCCAATATACATCAGACAAAGGACTGATAACCAGAATATATAGGGAACTTAAAAAACTAAATTCTCCCAAAACTAATGAACCAATAAAGAAATGGGCAAGTGAACTAAACAGAACTTTCTCAAAAGAAGAAATTCAAATGGCCAAAAACACATGAAAAAATGCTCACCATCTCTAGCAATAAAGGAAATGCAAATTAAACCACACTAAGATTCCACCTCACCCCTGTTAGAATAGCCATCATCAGCAACACCACCAACAACAGGTGTTGGCGAGGATGCGGGGAAAAAGGAACCCTCTTACACTGTTGGTGGGAATGTAACTAGTACAACCACTCTGGAAAAAAATTTGGAGGCTACTTAAAAAGCTGACATCGATCTACCATTTGATCCAGCAATACCACTCTTGGGGATATACCCAAAAGACTGTGACTCCAGAGGCACCTGCACACCATGTTTATTGCGGCACTATTCACAATAGCCAAGTTATGGAAACAGCCAAGATGCCCCACACTGACGAATGGATTAAGAAAATGTGGTATCTATACACAATGGAATTTTATGCAGCCATGAAGAAGAACGAAATGTTATCATTCGCTGGTAAATGGATGGAATTGGAGAACATCATTCTGAGTGAGGTTAGCCTGGCCCAAAAGACCAAAAATCGTATGTTCTCCCTCATATGTGGACATTAGATCAAGGGCAAACACAACAAGGGGATTGGACTTTGAGCACATGATAAAAGCGAGAGCACACAAGGGAGGGGTGAGGATAGGTAAGACACCTAAAAATAGCTAGCATTTGTTGCCCTTAACGCAGAGAAACTAAAGCAGATACCTTAAAGCAACTGAGGCCAATAGGAAAAGGGGACCAGGAACTAGAGAAAAGGTTAGATCAAAAAGAATTAACCTAGAAGGTAACACCACGCACAGGAAATCAATGTGAGTCAATGCCCTGTATAGCTATCCTTATCTCAACCAGCAAAAACCCTTGTTCCTTCCTATTATTGCTTATACTCTCTCTACAACAAAATTAGAGATAAGGGCAAAATAGTTTCTGCTGGGTATTGAGGGGGGGAGGGGAGGGGGGGAGTGGGTGGTAAGGGAGGGGGTGGGGGCAGGGGGAGAAATGAACCAAGCCTTGTATGCACATATGAATAATAAAAGAAAAAAAAAAAAAAAAAAAATGAAAAACTGAAAAAGTTGGTGAAATCATTAATTGGTAATAAATATTGGATGGCCCCTGAAAAAAAAAAAAACCTAAAAATAGAATACCCAGATCTAAACAATCAATTTCTTGGGTATATACGCCAAATATATTTTAGTACTATATTGTATATTAAATGATAGAAATACAGACTTCAATTATTATTGCCTGTGAGAATGAAACCTTATTAATATCATTCTACTTGGACATTCATTGGACAAACTTAATTTAATATAGCATAATTTAATTTTTATGGCCTACAATTTAAAAGCAATATTCGCTCTTAAATGGTAATAAAAATAATAATACAGGCATCACATTTCTGGTCATGGCACATATGAAAATAGCAATATTAAGAAATTATAGCTTGTTTTTTTAATCTTGTTATCAAATTCTTAGCAGGTTTCCCTGCTCACTAATAAATTCTGGAAAGTGAAAAGGAGTAGTGCAAAAAATTTTTTTTCCTTCTTTCCCTTCCCCTTCCTTTTCCATTTCTTTGTTTTAAATGCTACCTACCCACTTATATTTTTATCTATTTATTAAATAAATCATTCTTTAAACAATATTATAGTCTCAATACTATGATTTATGCTAGGAATAAAACTGTGGATTACAGAGGATTACCCCCTTCATTGGCAATGTGGCTCAGTGGTAGAGCATCCATTTAGTATGTACAGGGTTTTCGTTTGCCACTGTTATTATCTGGTGAGGAATTATAAACAGATAGTACTAACATGAAATAGTAGGGATAACAGTAAGGTAGGCACAAAAATTCTGTGGAAGCAGCAGACAGTATCTAATTCAGGTTTAAAGGATTAGATACAGGAAGATTCATGGAAAAAGTGGCCTCTAAGCCTTTCTCTACAGAATGAAAAGGTGCTAGACACACATAAGCACAGGACAGGGACTTGGAGAGAGGGTTCCAGGTGGCAGTGAGAAGATATATTGTATACAAATGCCTAAATGGTACTGGAGCAAGAGGTGGTAAGAAATGAAGCTGAACAGATAAGCAAAGGTAAGCTACTGAGGAACAGTGAAAACCACTTCAGGGAGTATGGCTTGATTCTGAAAATAAAAGATGACATTGAAAGATTTTAGCTGGGAATAAAAGGAGGAGATTCTAATTTACAATATTTACTTCATAGAATATTCATTTGAAATCTAGTAAGGAAAGAAAAAAACCAAACCAAATTTTTTTTGAGATTGCAGGAAAACAGAGACCAAGTCCAAAGAGTTTCCAAATTTCTAAGTTCCCTCTAAAAGCAAATATATGCACCTATGATAGGTAGATATTTATAGCTTCTTTTGAGGATCATATTGTACACATAACAATTATTAAATAAAGATGGAAGTGGGAGGTAGCAAGATTTTTTTTCTTGCTAAGGATTAAACCCAGGGCCTTGTGCATGCTAAGAATGAGCTCTTACAATGAGCTATCCCCCCAACAGCTAGGCATGGTGGTGCATGCTTGTAATTCCTGCACTCAAAAGGCTGAGGCAGGAGGATCACACAGAATTTAAGGTCATGGGGATTCCCTGTCTCAATACAAAACAAGAAACAAACAAACAAACAAAATTCCCCCCAAACTTGTTCGGGGTAGTTCAACTAAGCAACCTAATTTAAATTTAGTAGCTGTTGGACTAATAAAAGAACTGCAAATACCTCCTTACATGTCATTTCTTGACCTGAGTAAAATTAATAGTTTAAAAATTTTCACAATTACTATATTTCATATATTTCAATATATACTCAGAAGAAAGCATTTTTCATACTAAAAATCTTACCTTAAATGTTAGGAGACTCTTTGTGTAATTAGGAACTAATATGGATTTATTTGTTACATTTCCCACTTTGCAGTCTACAATGATGTGTTCCAAGGCCAGGGGTTTTTTCCCAATCCCATTTATGTCAAAGATATATGACATACCATCTACTTCATTTCGTAGAAGAAGTTTACCCTATGAGAAACCAGCCAAATTTGAGCTGTCTAGAAGTCAAAATTCAATGCCAAATATTCTCTGCCATTCTATTCATTTGACTCTAGGTAACAAAATAAGCTTGTAAGATGTCAGCCATTGAATTCCAGTCCACATATAAATGCTTCTATTGGCCAAATAAACTGCTGATGAAAAGCTCCTTATTCTTCTCTACTTTCTCTAAATTATGCAGTTTATTTAGGTATTCTCTTGCATGGCAATTATACCTGTGTTTACTTCCAATGTCAAAGAAATAGTTTTAGGAAAGTATTTTCCAGTATAACAATTTTCTTAATGAATAGGAACAAAAGAAGCAAGGATTTTATATCATTCATTATGCTACATAAAAATAATCTGGATATAAGTATTCACAAATAATGGCATTGTGACTTTTAGAATATTCATCTCTCAAATTTAAACATTTATAAACTTTTCAAACAAAAATTATCAAACATATGGAATGTACAAATTTTCTGCAAAAATTTTTATCATCAATTAAGTAGAATAATGTTACACCTTGATTCATTTACATATTAATACTGGGAAAAGAATCAATAAGTTCATACCATAATTTCACACTCCAAAATTGGTTTGAATGTGAGAGGATACTGCACAGTTTCACCTGGTTCGGCAAGTAAAATAGAAGGTCCATAAAACCATTCTCCCTGTATTGTAACTTGAAATCTCCACTCATTTTTTGTTTTATTATTCTAAAGCACAAAAAAGGGGCACAAAACATCAGAAGGATGACACTGATAAAGCTGTATTACATATTAACTGTTATATCTTAAGAACTGTAATTCGTTGTGGGTGTGTTGGTTGTAACACCAGCACTCTGGAAGCTGAGGCAGGAGTTTGACAGTTTCGTGCCAGCCTGAGCTGTACAGGAAGATCCTGTCTCATAAAAATCAAAGTCTGTTATGTAGTTCAGTGGTAGAACACTTACCTAGCATGCCCAAGGTCTTAGATTAATCCATAGCACCACCAAAACCAAAACATTATGATCTGAGCACTGTAGTTTTTAAGAATGACTATCAAAAAATGTGAACATAATGGACGAGATGCACCAATCTGGGGTATAACACATGTATATATGGATATGTCATAATGAACCGCCCAGCATAACTATCATATACTAACAAAAATGTTTTTTTTAAAAAAGGAAGGACAGGAAGTTAAAGCATGTCCTCTCTGGGGTGGATGGCAGTGGGAGGGGGGAAGGCATAAGAAAAGGATGAAGGAGGGTGAATATGGTGGATGTATTTTGTATTCATGTATAAAATAGAACATTGAAACTTGTTACTCTAAGAAGAGGAGAGGAGAAATGTGGGAGAAAGATAGAGGTGAACTCAATTAAGGTATATTGTAAGCACATATATAAATGCCACAATGTATCTCCCTGTAAAACTATAATATACTAGTAAAAAATAAATCATAAAAATATAAACAAAATGCACAAGGATGACTAGATATTATTTCAAAGTCATGCAGAAGCATTGCCTGATGGAACTATCCAAGGATTATTTAATCTATAAAAAATGTTCATTTGTTTCACTTACTACTGTTAAATGGCAAAATGTTCTTGAAAGACACAATTTATGTCTGATTAAGGGGCATAAAAGGTGCTCTAACTCATAGATTTTTCAGAAAACAACCATTACATATCAATCACAACACATCTTTATGGTTTCAATCTGACTGTGCTATGTCTTTAATAATTAAGCAAATAAAAATCAATTTATTACTCTGAAAATCCAAAGTTCCTTATAATCACATTACTATCTATTCTGTATTGTTACTTTGTCTAATAGGAGCCAAGCTCCAGCCAATCACTGTTCTGTAGGCCCATCTTAGTCAAATGTTAAGAACACATAAGAATTTGGAGCAGAGTGATCTGAGATTCTATAATTCTGCTTGGTGAATAGCTTTTTATTAAGAATATTTTTCTTTCTTTTATTTTATCATTTTTAAATTTACTCATGTGTGTATACATTGGGCCACACACCCTCCCCCTGCCCGCTTCTAGGCAAAACCTGTTCTGCCCTCTTGTTCTCTGATTTTGTTGAAGAGAAAACATACCAGATAATAAGAAAGACATAGCGTTTTTGATAGTTTGAGGTAAAAACAGCTATACATAGAGATTCCTAGCATTGCTTCCATGCATATTTGTATTACAAACCAAATTTGCTCATCTCTGCCAGACCTCTTCACTTCTTCCTGGTCACCTTCCCATAGTAGTCTCTGCCAATTTAAGATTACTATATTCACTTCTCTACAGTGAGCACATTAAATTTGACATTGATTAAGAACACTGTAGTTAATTTTTTAAGCAAGGATATCCAGTAGAAATGATTACTGAGCAATGATAACATTTACATTCAGGAAGAAACTATGAATTCAGTGAGGAGAAATAACTTGCAGGAGATATTGCAGTTAGAAATCTGTAGTAATTCAGGAGAGGTTTGGAGTAGTAGTAGGTGTGGAACCCCAAAATATGCTATTGTGATATTTATTTCTTTGGACTATTTCAAGATGGCTATTCTGAGAAACTGTAAACAGAATCTATCCTGAAAAGCTGACCTTTTATAAAATAAATTTACATTGACATTAGTAGAGAGTTGATGCAGGCAATGCTTCCCTATCTAATATTCCTCTTTCTGCCCAGAAAAGATCTTTCCACATGAAGAAGTGGGGGTCTAATGCCTGTCCTGGACAGATATTACCATAGATGGCTGTTATAGTATAAGACAACCCTTGCTCCTTGTGTACCTCCACCCTTCAACCTTTCATAGGCACCTACTCTTCTTCCCCTTCTCCCTCCCAGAACCTTAAGTTCAAATCCTTTTATTTATCTTCTATACCAGTGCCAACTATCTTGTTCCTCCTTTGAGTCTTATACTTTGTGTATGGCTCCCATGTTTCTACATGCTAATAAATTTACTATGTTTATTCCTTTTTTCATAGGTTAGAAATATCAAATCTTCAGGGAAAAAAGAGTAAACTCAAAACTTTCCTATATGTGTAAAAGACTCTAAAAATTAGGATTTTAAAAAATGTGACATTTTCAGTTCCAGTTTTCTATAGGAAATATCATGTGGGGGGATGAAAATGGCTCTCTCCCAGAAATCCTGGCTCCTATCACCAGTAGAAAGACTTACCTTCCAGTTCAGGTAACTGGGGCCCACAGGTAAATCTACATATGCATATCCTGGATTTTGTTCTATCCTTTATAAATTTGTAACAATGCTGTCATCAAGGTGGAGACAGACAGAATGGCTCTATCCCCAGTTTTAGCCAAAGCTGTAAATAAATTCATATATCATTTTCTCTGAATGTGGGTGAGTGTTTGGAACCAGAGCCAGTCCTTACAGCCAGGGGTTCAAGCACCACACAGAAATGAAGAAAAGTACCAAAAGAAAGCTTTTACTTACTATTGGAATATTCTGGGTAAGGGCTTCAAATGCTGGTGTCTCAAATGAAAATTTGGCCTCTGCTTCTTGTTCATTCACCACACCTTCAACGCAATAAACACGCACATCATACTTTGACGTCAACAAAATTTTACAAGGGTAGCGTCCAGGACTGAGTGGAGCAAATTGTAAAGGAACTAAAACAGATCCATCTGCAGGTGTTGAAATAATTTGAAATTTGTTCAGTCATATTAAAGGGAATAAATAAATGCCAAAATTCATTCTGGTAAGCAATATATAATATTATAATATCAAATTTATCATATAATTTAGAATAGACTAGGTTTAACTCAGGTAAAACACCATGCCTACATCTCTAGGGATTATCATACACAATTATTTATGAGTGGAAGAATTTTATCTTGCATAAGTTGAAGGAAAGCATGCGCCATAAAGTCATTGGGGGCCCTATGCTTTGAAAGATATCATTATTTTGCTACTGTATTATCAGGAATACCTCTGCACCTTGGCTAATGAGTCAGGAAAAGATGAATGGTTGGATGGTTGTGCAAGGGCTTTTCAATGTGAAGCCTAAAATTAACATGCATTACATTTAATTGACCAGACCCAGCTATATAGTACTACCTAACTGAAAAAGGTCTAATAAATGAAATAGGTATATGGATAATTTGACAACCTTTACCATCTACCACATTTCTATGACTTAGCAGTTTTTTGCCACATAGCAACTAATATAATTTTCAACTTGGCCAGTAGGTAGGAATGGTAGGTATGTACATTTCCCAATAATTACCAACTCTGAAAGTGGCAGCCGCGGACATTTTAATTATACACTTTCCAACTAATGAAGTGTTAATGGGCAAGAACCTTAAAGAATACAGGATTAGTCCATCTCTCTTCCAAATTCAAAAAGGAACCCATCATAACAGTGGAATTCATGAAAATGATGGTTTTAGTTTTGAAAATTTATTGATAAAATTATGTTTGATATAAACATCCAAAATAATTTAATGGAATCATATAAAATGTATATAGGGCTATTATCATATATGATAAAGCAGAAGTCACTTCTGGATTAAGTATTTATTTGCAAATAGTCATATCCCCTTTGATGTAAATCATTTTGATCTTTAGAAATTAGGATTTTTACTGGTCATATTGTGCTACCATACCATCATTCTCTTTTAGAAACATTTTCTGAGCCCTTTCCAATTTTGCAATATAGTAGAGGTAATCCATGTACTGCCACTAGTACCTTCTTTTCTTTCTAGTCTCCCACCCCACTAGCTATGTTTCCCAACAACACCACTCAAACTATTTCTCTTAAGACATGGTCTCAGGATTCTGCTGTTGGACATAGAAGCCATGAAACTCAGGAAAGAGAGTTTCCTGTCTTGGGTCACATGTTTTCTAGCATCTTACTCTCAGCCTCCTTTGGTACTGGTTCTACATGCAGAAGAGGTATAGAGGCCCAATATACAGACCTATATGGAGCCTAATCCCACCCATGTTCCAATGTCATGAGACATCATAATTTACAATTCAAAGTGCCTTAATCTTGTTTATAGCATTCTCATAGGACTCTTCCCTAGGTCTGTCCTCCTGCTGAAAGATTATTAGAGTTGTTGAACAACTAAGAGGTGTCTATTAGGGGGAAGAAGTGCAGCAAGACTAAGTGTGTGGGCTGAGTTATCCACATGCTTGAACATGGGAACCATTATAGTTCCTATTAGAGTTGAAGGAAGGAAGAGATCCAGCTACCCTATGTCTTCACTTTGTAGTGCAAATTTAGAAGTTCAAGAAGTCTGAATTCAAACATGATCTTCCAGGCTCTCATAAAGTTCTATTTGTAAAGGTGGAATAATATAATATATACTATTTAAAAGTGTGTTATCTTTGTTTACAACTTTTAAAATTTAGACATGTGGAATGTGAGCTTCTATTTGTACTTTTGAACTGTATCTTGCAAATATCAGGGACAATTTGGACCCAACCATTTCATTTCTACCTTACTCAGATGTAATTTATGAGGTGCCTTTTCTTTTCTTTTTCATTTTATTTTCCTTTTTACAAATGAAAGATGGTTAGAGATGGAAATCAGTTTATTATTATTATTATTATTATTATTATTATTATTATTTTGGCAGTACTGGAGATTGAACTCAGGACCTTGTACTTGCTAGGCAGGCATTCTCCAACTAGGCCACTCTGCCAGCCTGGAAATTAGTATATTAGATATGAGCAAAAAACACTAATTGAGCATATACTAGATGAGCATTTTGCATATATTCCAATTTTATGCTCACATCCACCTTGAAAAGTTAAATATTACCTGTATTTTACAAACAAGTTACCTGACATTCAATGTGGTGAAGTAAATTATCACAGGTTACATAATTTGGGAAAGCTATAATGTAATATTTAAGGGTGAAAAGAAAGAGATGGGAAGAGAGAGGGAAAGGGAAAAAGGTAAAAAAGAAGAGGAAAGGAAGAAGGATGGACAATCAAAATAAAGAGTGAAGTAGAAATCCATAAAGAAAAAAATTTACAATGCAAAGAGAATAGAACGTACATAACCCCTTTTAGCTGACATAACCCTGAGACGGTCCTCAGGATAAGTTTGACCGTTTTCCAATCAGCTAATTCATTATAATAAAGTTCTTCCACTACCACCACTTTGCTTCTCAACTAAGTGGCTTTTATTGTGCAGTGAGGAGAGGGAATCTTTTGTGTTTATTTCAACATCTCAAGAACTACATTCTTATTGTAGTTCTTTTTTATTCTCATATTTTATTAGATTAATAAAGTTTCCTTTATTTCTTTTCTGCCTCCAGTGATTTAGAAATTATGCTTTCTATATAATTTTTAGTTGCCCTAAATTTTCAACATTCATAATTCGTGCAAAACTATCTTAAAATAGTTTAAGCCTGGTCCCCCGAAATAGAATAACCTTAAATGCTTAGAGTGACAATAACTTCTTCCTTATAAAGTTGTCTAGCAACTGAATTTACTTTCTTTTTATTACACCTGAATTATTCATTCTTATTATTCCTATAGCCAATGCTCATGAGACTTATCCACATTTACTGATTATTTTATTAACTGCTTTCTTGAATCCTAAATTCTTCTTTCTGAATTCAATTTCTTTAATCTATAAAGAGATCTTTTATTTATTCTGATAGAAAATGACTGTGAGTTTAAAATTGTTTCAATTTCATTGTTAGATTGAAAATGTTTTTATTTCATCATTACTCTTGAATTATAGCTTACTAGGATAAAAAATTCTAGACAGTTAATTTGCATCAACGCTATAGGTATACGGTCTTTTACTTTCTAATGTTACTGTTATAATGCCTTCAATATAATTTTTGCTCCTTTGAAAAATATTTTCCTCTCGTTGCTTCTCAGAATTTCTTTTGACTTTGCCATTCTATTATTTCACTATCATTCTTGTACATGTGAATTTAGGTGTCACTTCTATTGTCTTCTGGCATTGTAAAAGAAATTTTCTACCTTCTCTTTTCTCCTGCAATAGGAGAGATTCATCTTTTCTAAGTGTTCATTTGTACAGATGTTCATTCTCTTTTCACTTTGCAGTGATCTCCTAGACCTAAATATGGAGGTATCTCAATGAAGAGCCCTTGTGCCCAATTCCTGCACTAAAAAGCATCTACTTATTAAATGTGCGATATTTTCTTGCAAGGAAACTTTACATTGTTGGAAATATCTATTTTCTTGTTAATTGATAAACTCTACTCCCACCAATAACATGCACCATACCTCACATGAATGGTTCCCACCTCTGTTACCATCACTACCACTTCTATCTGTAAGATTCTATACATCCTTGATAGGATGATGTTCCTTTACATTTTCTCCTGCAATTGCAGTTATTTTAAATCTAGGGAATTATTTTATCAGGAAGTATGCAAAATTGTAGTATTAACAGAGTTCCACAACAATATGCAAAACAGTAATGCCCACATCAAAAGTATTTCACATACATTCTTCATTAGAAAAATATTTTTGAACTCCTACTACACACCAGGAGGTATGCAATGGGGAGGCAAATTCCTGGTTTTCTAGTTGGTGCAAATAATAAGTTTCTGAGGAAAAAGATCATGCTTCCTTTTTATACTGAGCATACAGAAGCCATTACATGTGTTTTTCAATCTGGCCACATCAACTCAATAATTAGTGGTAATTCCTCATAGGATTCATATAAATGGATAGCTGTTATCTTTCCTTTCCATTGTTGTTTAATTTTTTAATTTCTGTATGTCTTCATGGATTATTTAATGGAAAATCAAGTGGAGACTAATCAAGGAGCCCTAGTTTGCCAACATTTTAACTAGAAAGTTACCTTTATTCACATATAATTTTTTAAGACGACAAAATTTCCCAAAGAACTGAAATAAGATTTCACTTTTTAATTAACCCCTCAATAGGAAAGGAAAACAAGGGATTGCTGACAGCAAAATAAGTGCATTTTGCGTTTTCATTCCTGAATACATAAATTTTCTCTAATTGTCCTGCATTTTAAAAATACACTTTGTTTTGAACACGGTTGGTTTTAATTTTTTTTCAGATTGATTTACTAACTGTGCAAATTAGTTTGAATGAGTTGCCAGCAAGTCAATAAACAGCATGTTCTCTAGGATTTAAAAAGGGGAAATGGTTTATAAAAATTTTGATTAAATGTCTCTCTAATTGTATTACTGCAGGGTGCATGCTCAACATTGAAGACCTAATAGAATAACAATCTTTTAAAAGTTTACAGGTTTTTAACTTGTGGACTCTATATTCATAGATATAAAATAATAAAAGTGAAAGTGAATCATTCATCGAACTGAAAATATACCAAACCTATAAGGATAAAGAATACATGCAGCCTTGGATATTAAATTATGTTGGCTTGGATATATTAAGTTATTTGACTTAAATATTTATTTTTTATTTATGTATTTATTACTCATTTTTGTTTTTTGGAGAGACTGGGGTTTGAACTCAGGGCTTCAGGCTTGAAAATCAGGCACTCTACCACGTGAGCCATACCTCCAGTCCACTTTGCTCTGGTTATTTTATGAGAATGGTGGTCTCAAGAAGCATTTGCCCAAGCTAACCTTGAATCAGGACCCTCAAGTAGCTAGGATTACAGATGATAGCTACTGGTGCCCAGCTAAAGTGTTGA